TTTTTCCCCACCCTGTATACTCGCACAAACTTAATAAATAAAATATTTCTAAGGGTTTTCCAGACGTCTTTCACCTTTTTTTCAACTTTAATATCTCATACTTTAGAAATGAAGCAATTTAAGACATGCGTTCATACAATTTTTTTTTCTAAATAAATCAAGGATCATTCCCTTTTATTTTTGTTATTTACTTAGAAATCATCCTAGGTCACCTTACATATATATGGAAAGTCACCCTATATACGTATAGGAGACGTATGGGATTTACTGTTACATTTCTTTCATGACCTTTTTGTATATATTAGATAGATATGGCAAAAAGATTTCTCAAAAGCTGTGTACGTATACTATAATATAAATATTTTGAATGTAAAAAATTGTAATTTATTTATTTTACATTAATAAATATTAGAAGATAATATTTGAAATAACCTTCCACGTGTGAAGTAAGTATCGGAATAGATTGTGACAAGTTGTAAGTTCTTTTAAATATATTAATTAGTTATAAATACAGAATGAGGGGGCGAACCTATAATATAACTGGATTGAGAATGATTTCTTATACAAAAATAAGTCAAAAATATAGAATAAATTGTTTTTATCCGAGGCTTTGCTTCAGAGAAAAAAAACTCTATAAAAAATAACAAATATCATTTATTTTGTAAAATATATTACGGTTTCAAGAACGATCACTGAATTAATGATATAATTTCTAAAAGATAAAATCATCTTTTTTTATACAGCACTACCATCTTTTATTTTAGAAATACTTTAAATATAATCCATCCTAAATGTAACATTTAGGAAATATATTTTTTTCTAAATAGGATAAGAAACTTAGTTAACAATAAAATTAACAATACAATTAATTTATTATTATATAAAGTTAATTAAAAGTAAACTTTAAACGTAAGAATATACAGACTTCCATAACCTAAGTTGTTGATAGCTTCATCTTTAAACAAAAATTTTATATATTTAGTTTTTACAAATCTATTTCAAAAATTTCTCTTTAATAATATAAGAAAACATAATTACTTTTTATGTGTTTGATATAAGCAACCCCACAAAATTTGTTTTTCATTCAAATATACAATATATTACAATGTCACCTCACTGTCAAAATTAGTTATTCTACTTTTGTAATAGAAGATCTGTTAAAACAATATAGTAATCTTTGGTCTTATCTTTCCATTTTGAAACCGGACCGCTCGGAGAAAGAGAAGCTCCCAGTTGAGCTCTTCGAGGAGTGGGGTGAAACGGAAACATATGATGTTCAGTTGGGTCAGCAGAAATTTGAGTGATTAGTGCATGGCCGATCAGTGGACTACAGTTCATTGACGACGCTTGACCGTGACCGTGTCATCGCCGACCGATTCTTCTGTTCACGTAATCAATCTGTCGGATGATAGAAAATTTTTAGCGATCGATCGAAAAGGGAATTGTTCACAGTAATAAGTGTGATTTGGAAATTGTGTTTCTTTTTGAAAGTTTAAAACTACATACATTAAAGATTATTTAAAAAATCGAAATTCTATATAAAAAAACTGATAATTTTATAGATTTAAAAATGGAAAATTACTTAAATATAAAAACTAAGAATTTCTAGAAGAATCGAAAAAAAACTAATGACTTGAAATATCACAGTCAAGCCGCGCGACTAAATGTGCGCACTATTAAAATTTCATTTATTTGGAAACGGACGTTCAATATCGAGACTGCCGCCGACACAAGTGCTATCATTGGCGCTTTGCGTCAATCGATTTTTTCATTATTATTACTCCTTATCACGCGGCTTACATAGTGGCTGGCACTGATGAATTGCCCCGTCGAGACAGACATTTAGAACTCACGAGATCTTCGTAGAGTCGACGCCAAGGACGTCGCAACATATTTCTGTAGCATTTAAAGCGAAGTGTTCATCTTAAACTGACCACAAAAGTTCTAAAGATTCAAATTCCTTGGACGTTTAAGGTTGCTTGCTAACTTTCGAGAAAGTGAAGTGATAAAGAAAAAGATTCTTCACGTGTCGTCTATAATTTATTTTCATCGAAAGTGAACACATGAAGTTAACATCAGAACACTGTGATGACATAATTTACTCGACAAATAGATAACAGTGCAAAGGTTTCTATTTGTTTTTAAGAAGACGCCTAATGTTACAATATTATTTTAGTATTTGGTGCAACAATATGTATGATACGATCAAATTATCGTAATACGTAAGAACGCGATATTGTGAGAAGTGTAAGTTATATATATATATCAACGTGAAGATTGTACGGATATCTGTTAGTACGAAAAATATTCCAACATGTCTTTCCTTAACGAGATGATAATGTTGGCATACACAGCCCAAATGATGTCTACCTTGCCCGAAAAGGGAGGGAATATTAGTGTAGCTCAGAATACTACAACTTTGTCACCGGTGGAGGTAGAGAACAAATTTGATTTTTACGACCGTAAGTATCAATTTCGAAAAATTTACTATAATCTTATTTTACTTCCAAAATAATTTCTCTGTAGCTGAAAATACTCCGTGAAAAAATAAGAATATAAGAAGGAGAATGTAAATTCTTTAAAGGTAAAGATTTAGTCGGTAATACAGACGGCTTTAGGATCCCTTTAAGTATTGTCATGAAAAAATGTTACACACTTCTAACGTTGCGGGTTTCCTGGATTCTTATTTTTTAAAGACTAATAAATTAATGAAACTCATTAATTTTGGAAACATTTTTATTATATCTTTTTATTTGATCCCTAGTTTACCTGTATCTTTAAGCGGGGTCTACAATAGAAGTCGTAGCAGTCGTAGAAAATTAATCAATCACAATAAAATATGAGAAGAATAATCGACTATGATTGGTCAATTTTCTACGACTTAAGACTCTACGACTGCTACGACTTCTATTGTAGACCCCGCATTACAAGCGTTGAAAGATTTGATATCTAATGGATTCACGATACTAGTTAATTAAGAATTAATGTATCTTTGCTTAACATTAACGTAATTGAACAATTGTTTTTATTTTAAAGGTTATAATGTGAGGAATAAGATTATGCAACTTAAATTTATAAGAAATAAGATTATGTAATTTAAAATTATAAGGAATAAGATTATTTAACTTAAAATTAAAAATAAGTTTGTAAAAAATATTTGTTTAAACAATTTTTCACAATATTTGACGTAATTGGAAATATATCCAGGTCCACGAATACTAATTGAAGTTTTAAGAAAATATCCAAACAAAGGTCGGAAGAAAATTATAATAAATTAAGAGTTAGTGTACAGTCATGTGCAATCGTATATTGCCCTTATCGCTAATCACTGATCTCCAAGGCGGAGACAAAACATCATCGGGGTCTTCGAGGAACTGATAGAACCGCGTGCGGAGATATGGACGCGCTGATAACCCCTGAAAAGTAATCCCATGCTGGTCTCTCGAAATGCTGGTCGATACTATATTAGTGAAGGACAGCGAATAAACCAGTTAGATACGCATGTCAAAATATTTGTAATTGACACTGAGCCAAAACTTTATATAATATACAGGGTAAATCATTTTAATGTCCCATTCCCAAAAACTATTTTTTTTATTTTAGAAAAAAATGTTTCAGAAATAGAACGTGCGCGTGCGCGGTTTCAAGGGGGGTGTATATTGATCCTAGGGCGGAATCCATAGAAGTTGTTCAAGATTCAAGATGGTCTTAAGCTGTAGTGCTTGAGACGTCGTGAACCAATGAGAGCCGTATTAGCATCTTAAGACATTGTTCGAGATTGTCTTGAAATTAAGAACGAACTATGGATTCCGGCCAGACCCAGTAAGAAATGATGATGGAATTGACATCGATTTTACTGTAATTTCTCACTGAATATTCTTTTTTCGTTTTAAGCGAATGCGTCAAAAAGATATGAAGGTCGCTTCTACTTTCTTAAATAGAATTATATGATTTTTTTACTGTATAATTCCTTTCATTATTTTGCATTAAATTAAAGTATTACTAGAATTCTAGTAAATTTAACCAAGAAAATTCTGAATGTTGGTTATCTCAACTAGAATTCTAGTAGATTTATCAAAAAATAATGTGGTAGGTTTAACCAAAGTTTTGGACCGTTTATTTTCCACCAAAATTCCTATTAATTTAATCAATTATTTTCCTCCGTGAAACGATACTAAAAGCGAGAATACCTCCTTAATACTTTTATGAATAGACTAATGAGATAAATCAATTAGTACAAAAAAAATACATACCCTGGTAGCAAGCTGACGTCAAAATGACGTCATTTGACGTCAAAAAGACGTCATTTGACGTCAAAACGACGTCAAAATGACGTAGCTTGCTACCTGGGTAGTTTCTTAAACAAAAAAATATGTAGGCAAAATAGATTTTTTATAAATAAACAACTGTGTATTTTCTTTATACTAATTGATTCACTCTATTATTCTATTTATAAAATTATTAAAGTATTATATATTAAAAAATTAATAGTTTACGAAATATTTACGAGACATTTTATGTCAACATGTGTCAGAATAAAATATCTAAACGTATCATTAGAATCAAAATAAGTTTTTTTGCAAAGCGTTCAAACAATTTATTTTATGATTTTTGAAAGTTTTTACAAGTTTTCTTGGATAAAATAAGTTTTTTTTTATGAATGTATGGACCTTTATGGTAAATAGATTTTTAACGTGTCCGTTCTGAGTCAAAATTAACCATTTTTACACCTTTTTAGCCTCCCTTAAATAATTGTTGCACTTTCATTGTTGTTAAACACTAAAGAAGTAAAAATAATTTTTTATTAATTAGAATGGTACATGTGGCGATGTTACGAACCGTTCGGATGTTTTTATATTGGACCACCCTGGTCTGGAGAGAATCGACCGGTGTCCACATTTCCTGCAAGACCGGACAGTATCGATCCTCATTACATCCTTTATACACGCGAACAGGCCGGAAAACCTTATGAATTAAAGATTGATGGAAATTCAACGATCCGGAAATCGCCCTTGAACAAGAAGAACAATTTGTATTTCATTATCCACGGATTCCTGGACAACGGCGACAAAACTTGGGTCTTGGTGAGTGCCTCACAATTTTTTTTTTTTTAAATTGATATTTCGTAAATATCTTCCAAAAAAGAATAATTTTGTAGTTAAGGCTCCTGAGTGGTCATCACAGCCATGTTTAATCGTGACAAAAATTATCATTTCTCGCTTCTGACCTCACGATTCAATATAGTGATTATTCAGCCTTAAATTGTATTTGAAATTTACGTAGAAATATTAACCGAGGCTATCATGTTTTCTGATTATTAGATTCAGCTTTGACTATATTTAATACTTTTTTACTTATTCGTGCTTCACATTCTCTCATTCATATTTTATTCTATAAAATCCACTTTACACGATTTATTACTCATACAGAATTCTATAAAATATATTTTATAATTACTGCTATCAAACTCTTCACTCATGTAAACATTTTGACAGAGAGTGATGAAGGAGTTGCTGTTGCGGGAGGATTGCAACGTCGTGATCGTCAATTGGCTTGCCGGTGCTGGACCACCCTACACACAAGCGGTGGCGAACACACGGCTAGTGGGTGCTATGACAGCTCGTATGGTAGCACTACTAATCGAGACCATGGAATTACTACCTTCCAAGATGCATTGCATCGGTCACAGTCTAGGCGCTCACACTTGCGGTTACGTCGGATTCCATTTACGCGTTCGATACAACTATACACTAGCTCGAATTACAGGTAAAGTTAAATGAACAACTATTGACATAAATTTTTTATATGTATTATAAAATGTATTGTTTCCTTACTTCAGAAGTAACACAACTCAGGAAACGTGATTTTCGTCTTATTACCATGAATTAGTTATAAACTATAATCAACAATTTTCTATTAATGGGTTACGTCTAGTTAAAAATTTTGAACAAATCAATTTTTCAAAACCACTGCACTAATTTATCTCTAACACATACACACACACACTTTGTGTATTTTTTTTAAATATCAAAATCTTTAATCCAAGAGTTTTTGTATTCAATGTATACTTTTCATTTTATAGACTAAAAAATATCCGTTTTTAAATGAAAATCAGCATTTTAACATTGAACAACCGCCATTTTGTAGGAATCCAATTTGTCGAAATATTAATTGATTAAAAACTAGATAAACTCAATTTTTTTGAATTTTTGATTTCTAATAATCTGGTTCCGAGCAGCACTGCTCACCGCAAAACACTTTTAAAAAACACACCTGTCCTTGAAACAGACCATGAGCTAACTTAATCTTTATAATGTTGCTTTATAGTGTTAAATAAGTCTATTGGAGCTGAAGGCAATCGTGCATATATGGAACAACTCTAGAAAAACTATCGCGTTACATATTTGCATCTTGCAGATCAGCATAAATATGCATAAATATGCATATAATTCAATAAAAATGTTTTATAACGAAGTAAAATGATTCTGAAAAATCTTATATACATTCACTTATATAGGTACTTTATACAGATAATTCCTGTAAAAGAAAAAGAATAGGAATACGTAGCATTACTGCCTACTGTGTCAGTTTTGGAGCCCATTTTGTCAGACGCTCATTTTTGCATAACTTACGAAAAACTTAATTATTGCATAATTGCTAACAATATTATAAAAATTGCTTATACTATCTGATAGAAGACACGTTTTACTTTGTATTTATGGTTTTGAAGTTGTATTTTTACCTTTTGTTTAAGAAATATTGTCTAAAAACAAAGTGGTATGTCGGTGACCTTCCTCTAAGAGAACGATATATTACCCATGCAACCGTACCGCGATATATTACCTATTTTCAAATAACGCAATGTAACATAGTCGACATAACACAATAATTAGCAAGCAAATGATATAATGTGGATAAATAAGCAAGAATGTAAAATGATTAGTTAAATAGTTCTCCAAAGATTACGTTACGCGATTAGAAAACCAGACTTCTTTATAAAAAGTTCAAGAAGCAATTACAAGAAGGGAGTGTAAAAACTCTCTTTATGTAAAGTTGAAGAAGTGATTGCAAAAGGAAAACGCAAAAGGAGAAAGGAAAATACGGAGTGAAGTCATAGAGATATGTGAAAGAATGGTATAAAAGTGCAGTCGTTACGGTGTTTTTTTTTTCTTCTCCATTTTTCTACTTAAAATCGGTCATTGTCAAGTGGGTCGCTTGTCCCCTCCCGCAGTCACAAACAGCTCGGAGCATTACGAAGATAGCCGATTGAATCGTAGATGATCAGGATAGCAGTCGCCGAAGAAACGTCTTGCTCGAAAAGATTCAACGTCAGTCTTAAAGCGTTATTAATCATGTAAAAATTGGGATAAAAAATTATTTTAATAGCAAAATTATTAATAACAAAAGTCAGATACTTTCTCGAACAGTAAACATAATAGGAACATTTTGAACCGAGTTAAAATCGGTTTTTATTAAAATTTTTATTGTGAATTTTTAACATATTCGGGTGTTAATTTAACATAATATGATTATGTTAATATTTTGTGTTAAAATATTACTTAATATTTTTTAATTAAAATATTATGCTTTTAAAATAACACAATTTTTTAGTAATTAAACAAGTAACAAAAATAATATAGTTTTAATTTCTGAGATAAATAAATAAAAAATGCATGTGTTAATTTAATATATTATAAATATGAAATTTACTAAAGAAATGTTTTACAATTTTTTTTTAAATTGTGTTAAAGCGTAAAATTTTTGTATTAACCTTATTAGGTTAACTTTTACATGTTTATGTTATTTTCTAACGTACTCTCTTGTGTTAAATTAACACAAAAATTTGACCGTTTGGAATACGTAAAACGAGTTAAATTTAGTTTTTCAACTCTGTAACTTTATTATTCTTACACTGGAGAAAGAATATTCATTAATTAGAATTCTGTTAAATTCAACCAAAAAGAACAAAACAGACATATATTTATATTTATCCAACATTCTAATTAAAATAATTAAAAATTCAAATAAGATAAAACCAGAATTCTAGTTGATATAATCAAAATTTATTTTGTTGATCTGATTATTCATCGTACACACATATTTTAATATCTAAAACTTACGATCGGAATCTTCAACTTTCCATCAGAATTTCCATTTCACAAACTTGTAATTTAAATGATTAGTGACATTTTTTCAAACGTAATGAGCTAGGTTAGGACTCAACGATTCTTCTCGCTACAAGCAAATACGAAGTAATCGTCATTGAACGTAACGACTGTAAAATCACGTTACTTTCATTGTATTTTCCTGTGCCATCGGTGAATTTATATAATGTGCAATATCGAATAAACGAGAAGTATCATTTAAGCATGATAACGGTTTGTAATTCACTGTATCGCGGCATGCGGAAATTAAAAATCATATAACATCAAAAGATATAATCATTGTGTGAGGATACACTGAAAAAAAAAAGTAATAGCTACCAAATGTATTTTGTTTAGCAATGTTTAGTAAATATTTCTAAACGTAATAGTTGTAACCAACTATTTGATAATCATTAGAAAAGTAAACTAAACGTTTAGTTGGTCATATTAACATTCGATTGACATTACTTCGCCAAAGTTTTGGTATAACATCTCATCTAGGCTTAATTATTATTACCACACTTTTTTAAATGATACCCCGTTCTCTCTTCTGTTTTGTAAACCGTACCGTCATTATGCAATTTGCAATACCAATGATAAATCGATTAGACGCGTACGAAAGTGAGTCTGTACGCATAAAAGACATAGTCTTGCGAAATTTCTATTTCCCTCCCCCGTCGGTATCGATGAGATCGAACGCACCCGATCGGAGGTGGATGGGTTTGGTCGTTACGTAAGCTATCGATCCCATCGGGAACTACCAGGATAACAGAAGAAGGCGCGAAGTGTGTTAACAAGGGCGGCGGCGGGGCCTATATCGTCAATGGCTGCGAAGCGACCCGCAGAATTCGCCGAGGGTAGGCGAATCGACGCCCTCTCTCCGCCTCGGCGCGACCACGAGGCAGGACATCCCCTAACGAGGGGGATGTATTGGTTCCACGAGGACGGCCGACGAGACAAGGCATGCATCGGAGATGCGAAAGGGAAACGTCATTCCTGGACCCGTCCAGAGACTGCATTCCAAAGACCGAGTCCGAGATTGCGGTAAACAACCAGAATAAGAGAGCACGTTGTCCCAAGAAGTGGCAGGATAGCAGGAGAATAGGCCTCGTTCCCGAATAAGGACGAGAAAGATAATGGGATATCATCAATCATAGGCGTGAAAGAGTGCATTCTGAGGAAAATTATATCAAAGCGAAATACAAATCCGAAATTTCGCAATAAGTTCTTCACAGACTTTAAGATAGTTAGTAGCAAGTCAAGTCGATGAACTAATTTAATTTGGGGGATTATTATTATTTCAGTTTGATCGCGCTGCAAATTCGAAAGTAATCGGCACGCAGTCATGTGTGTATGTGAGATTAAGGAGAATACAACTTTTTTCGCGATCATTTGGGAATTGTTTTATTTCTACATTTTTTATATATATTATATTTATTTTTCTTCATGGAGACCGAAAATTATCATAATAATGACATTACACTCAAGCAAAAATGGGTATTATCTGTGTGAAATAAAATTAATAATATCTTTATTACACCATTACGAAATCGCAGCCAATTATTATCAATTCAAGCATTTAAAAACTAATTTAGAGAATTGGCTCAACAACTGTCTGAATTAGTTAAATGATTGAAGCATAACTGGCAGCAATTTCGTAAGGATGTAAATAAAAATTTAATTCTTTTTCCAATGTATCTACCAATTTATCTTTGAGTGTAATATCAATATTGCGATAATTTTCGGTTTTCGTAAAAAAAAATAAAAAAAAATAGAAATATGAAACGATCCCCGAACGGTCGAAAAAGTGAAAGTGGAAACTTTCCTTTATTTAAAACACTTATAGGTGTATTATTTCAACATCTGGCTTTGACCGTAAGTGATGCTTCTCTTACTGTTGATATATTCGTATTCTTCGCTATCCTGTTCTGGCTTAATATTGAAATGTAAATCGTTCGCCATCAATTCTTCGTTGTAATAAATCTTTTCTACACGCGAAATATTCCGAGTTTATTGCATGCCATTTGTAAATTTTGTCCAAAGGAACAAAAATTATGCTATGCGTCATGATGCAAGAACGTTTACGAAGGTAAATCATCACAACGATAATTTACCTTAGTAAAGAGACTGAACGTGAGGTTAACGTTTTGTCTCTACGAATCGTAAAATAACTTTCATCTTTACGCAATATAGTATAGTATTACGGCAGAACTTACAGTAATCCTTATGTGACAGGAGCTGAATCATGTATGCTTTATAATGTTAAGCAAAATGAACATTCATTAAGATCGTAGAACGATATACAGTAAGAATAAATGCTATAGTTCGTATCATCTTCAAAACTTAATTATAAATATATGTATATATATATATATATATATATATATATATATATATATATATATATATATGTAAA